GTATAAGTTAGTTAAAACAGAACCTCATTATGCACAAACATATGCAAATGTGGAGGTCATTTGCATAATCACTGACGAAATATTGGAATAGAATTCTGCTAAAGCATAAGACTATCACACATACAATATACGTGATGTAATAGAGACCACTTATTAAATAGATTATGCTAAAAACAGCCCGGTGGGGGGGGGGCTCGTGAAAGCTAAAAAATGTTGACCCCGGTCATTTGAAAAAATGGACTGACCCAAAACTATCCCCTTGCAAAAATGACTACTCCAATGATTTTGTGTGCGCTCAACTTCAGATCACTCTAATGAGCGACGGCTTTGTCAAAAATTATGGTAAGATTGGTCCATGTATGTATGTATGTATTGGTTTCCATTGTGTTTGCTTTCTGTTATAAGTAAATTCATCTACAAACTATCATCTACTAAACATGAGGTCGGTCTGGCGGGACCTGTACTGTGTGCATCAGCTCCTGGTGCGTACGGTTGACTTTTTTATTTATTTCAACATGCAAAAAGTACAATACAGAAACAAAATACAATAGTGGTGACGCACTCAAGCAACACGCTTATATTCACGTCACCACTAGACATAAAATAAAAATTACATCACAAAACATGGGTATCGTCCAGGTAACAAGAGAACAGAGTTTAGCTATTAAGACATTATAAATGAATACAGAATTATAAATCAGTTGTTAAATCGCTTAGTTTCAGAGAGATATAGCTGTGTAATAATGGGTATTTGAGAGTTGACTTTAGATGAAAGTAAAAGTGATTCATTAAGTAGCAGATAAACAATAGCACTATCGGATAGGTTGTTAATATCTAAGTATCGGATGTTTAATTGTAAAAGTCTGTCGAAGAGGCGTACACGATGTTGAGTGTAAATGGGGCAGTGAAGTAAAAAATAAGGAATACTGTCGTTTCGGAACCCGCAGCTGCAAGAAGGACTTGTAACTAGTTTACGGATAAACAGACTATGATGGAAGTACGTGTGTACTTATAGATGCGTGTTGATACCAGACAGAAAGTGTCTTTAATATGGCACAAAATACAGCATCCTCTCGTGTAATGGTTACATTCTAAAAAAATGACCAATACAAATAAGTGGTGAATATGGAGAATAATCACTGGTGAACATTGGGAAAGAATGATTAGTAAATTGAACCTTCGCATCGGTCAACGTCATCTTGCTATAACGTTATGCCAATAGAATACTAGTATTTAGCATTTGACTACCAACGAATTCAAAAGCAGAGGACCATGCGTCAACAATTGGTGATGACAAACCAAAGCACACCAAAGACATCACCAAAGAACAAGTTAAGCCAACTGCTACAAAACTGCCAGTCAATTCCTGTCTTTAAAAAACTTCTTAAAATATTTTTCTTACAAAACCCCAGTACCACTACAATCTGATTTGCTTGTTTTCCTTTTTTTTCAATCTTTCGTTTTAATCGTTAATTTTTATGTTAATTATCTAATCAGTTTATTTCTGTAACAGCAACCTGAATTACATGTATAAGACTTTTGTTTAATTTCTTTTCGTAGATGTAAAAAATAGTTTACACACTTCAGTTATTATTTCTGTGTCTTGATTTTGTTTAATTAATCAATTATTTCATTGTTTGTTTGGGGTAGGCCCTTTAAAACAACCACCTAGGCCTCTGGCCTACCCCGCATATTCTCTGATTGTTATTATTTGATTATGTAATCTTTTTTATATACGTGCAAATAATAAATAAACAAAATAAACAATAAACACCCCAATCTAGTATAACATTATGTTCATATCACTGGCCCCATCTTTCTCATGTATATGAGTACGAAACTAGAATTTTTTCAGTAATACCCCCATTCCACTTACAGCAAGTAGTATTCGTTTGTTGTGGATGATGTTAATACATGTATAGAATAGCCATGTAGTTAGAGAGGTAGGCAGACAGATATAGACAGATAGATATGTATTGAATGATCGAAACAGAATTGGGGGGGGGGGTTCCGACATGGTCCATTGTTTTGCCTCAATATGGGCTCAGGTGTTCTACGCACCCGATAAATTAACCACGTGACTGTTCCGTGTTCCGTTCCTGTAACCTTGTCTGTGGGATTTACACCCTTCTATTGGGCTGGTAATGAAGAACGATGGTCCTGCTGACAGCAGTGCCGGGACAATTACTTGGTTATTCACATCAAGTCTGCAAATTTAAAGCTGCATTGTGTAACATTAGGACGATGCATTTGTTTGTCATTACACCACAGTGTATCGTCATTTGTTAAATTTATTCGCTTGTTTCATAAAAGTCATTAGTTTGCCGTATGATTTTGAAGCACTTTTACCAATATGTTATTTTTATAATTAAGTTATTTTGTATCTTTTTTTTTGTTTGTTACTTAAGTATTTTTGTAAATGTATGTCCGCAGGGAACATTGAAAAACACCCTGGGTAGATAAATAAAAATGAAATAGAAAGAAATACAGAAAGTTTATTTTCTAGTTATTTCTTTACGAAGTAAGTTGAATCTACCCTACTCTATCGCAGCTGAGTGCCATTCAGGAAGTGGAGGTGCAAAAATATGACGCCTTACAAATGTGTTGATCACATACAGTTGTCAGCCATGTTTGTTTACATTTTGGTAGTTTGTGGTGGCACCACAAACTGAGTGGTCCTCGTATGAACTATTTTAGCGCCAACCATAAATGTCATAAATGTCAGATAGTTGCACAAATATGTTGAAAAGTGGAAGTAAATTACATTCACACGAATACTTTTTTGCATATAATATTTCTTTTTTCAGGGCAAAAAAATAATGTTTTAATCCAGAACAGAAAAGTTCCATCTGAGAGCCTACCCCTGCACTGTGCCATCTCACTGTGAAAACCGAGGTAATCTCACCACTGTATATCTGGGTTTTGCAATCAGTTGAAAACGTGAACGCCATATTTATCGATTTATAGATGAAGCGCTTGGTCCGCTGGCACCCAATCAATTCTGCTCCAGATTGGATTTCTCCGTGAATGAGGACTCGGCGCGCCAATTTGCGTTACTGCCTAAACACGCGGCTCAGACGCTGACAAGATTCTTTCATCTAAAACAAATTCATTTCATCTCCGTGCCTAACGCTTAATTAACCCGTGTGGACCCCAACAATGCTGTTTTTTGTAATATAGTTTCTGCTGATGTGTTAAACAGTTGGCACTGACAAGAGTGTCACACTCTACGCGTTAGAGATAGTTGCGTTTCACGCATCTATATATAGATTTTGTATTTAATTTTATTTCATTATCTGTGTTTATTTACCCCACATTTACAAATGAGATGTAAGGTTCTTTTTTGTGCCAAATAACTTGAAATTTGAGTAGGATAATACAATTTGACAGTTTATTTCATTACACGAATGTCTTTCAAGTTACGTTAATGTTATTTTTGTTGTTGTTACTACTTACACCACAAAATGTACATTTTGTCTTGATGTGACTGAAATTTGATACAGCACACTGCCTCCTGGAATATGCACATGGGTCTTTCCTCCATTTTGGCTGTCTCTCAAAAAGACTGATTTCGATTTTTGCAATTAGAAAACCAAAATATACTTTGTGGTGTAAATAGCAAACTCCAAATCCAATTAATTAAATAGGTTCTGAAAAAAAAGTACTCTCTATCCCTACTCTTCAACCGTACCATACTCCACGTCATTTCATCTCATATAAACATTGTTTTTGATGCAAATGAGCGATTTTGATGAATTACCGAGGTACGTTTTATAAATTATACCATCACATCTTTGACTCGTACACATCAAATAAAAACAGCCAGAAAACTGATTTTCTTTTTCTGTATCAAGTGTCGAATTCACACGTTATTGAAACAAATTCAGAAAGTTGTTCATATTTTTTTAAATTACGTTAACTACCGGGGCAAAGGTACAAGACATACTGTTCACGTTCAAATGATTAATTAATCTGGAAACATAAGGGGTAAGACTGAAAATGTATCTTTGTTGGATTGTTTTGTTTTATAAGTGCTGTGTTTTTGGTGCAAAATAATTCGTGAGGGAACCGGGTGTCCAATATTATTTTATGCTTTGTTTTCGCAAATGTTGGAAACAGAAACAGACGCGCCAGGCGTGACAAACGTCAGCATCTGTAAAGAGCATCTCGTCTCCTTTTGCGTTCACGACGTCTGTTTTCTTCATAAATTCATCTAATTAATCACGTAGCTGACGTGGATAATTATTGTAATGACACTTCCGTGTGGGACAGACTGTAGCGGGCCGAAATTCTGCCCCCGACAAAACATGTTCCTCCCGCTGCCGTGGCCGGCCGGGGCGGAGCGGACAAGGCTTCATCTCAGATGAAACTGCCTCATCAAAATTGCAGGGTCGCGGGTCAGTGCCTGCCGCGGAGAGATGCGGCGGGACAGACGTGCGAGGCGGGTTCAAGATTGGAAGAGCCGCGGCACTTAAGAAATTACTCTGAGGAGGAATTACAACCAGCCTTCGCAAGATGTCAACAGACTAAGATAATACACTTAGGAAGACAATAAGGAATTAAAAGACCTACTTCTGCTCAAGCCAAAACGCGAGCGTCACGGGATTGATTGAATTGTACATCCCTGTAATTGTGGAATGGGAGCGCCTGTCACGTCTGATCGGCTTCGCTACAAAACCGTTTGGAAAAATGGCGCGATGACGACTAACCCCTCACTATAGCATCTCAAGAATCTACAGGCTGATCACCATCTTCACTCTGCAGTGTATCGATTCTAGGGTTTCCTTTTTTCACAGTGGGATCTTGTAGCTCGGAAACGGCCGTTTGCAGAATTAATTACACAATTAATAGGCTAGAGCCCTGGTATCAATCATGGACAGGGCAAGCGGAATTCATTACTGTCAGAGAGATATTGATGATGGTCACAGGTCGGCCAACTGATACGGGATGAACGTGTAGAACCGCGGCTCATGCAGCTTCTCTTCTCTTCTCTCCCCCAGCCCAGACCGGGAGGATGCGGGCACCATGCGCAGTCTGACGGTGCTGCTGCTGGTATACGTGACAGGTGGGTGCCGGGACTATTTAACTATTGGTAGTGCCATTCTGTAAGGCTAGGTCGCAAAGGAGAGGGTTGAATTCATTCAGTGAGTGTTCGACGATTAGGAATTATTCAGCTTACCAAGCATCCGTTTGGAAATCCGCTTCTGTCACCGAATAGGAGCTTAGAAACAAGAACAACTCAGGAAAATGAGCGCTTTGCTTATTTATCAGTATCGGACACGAAAATTTCATGGTTGATTTCGATAACATCTATAGCAAACATTTCCAGCAAGAGTAAACCTCACTGTGTGCAGGTAAATAGACGTTGTTATTTTTCCTTTCATAACACGGTCACTGTTCTTCTGTATTATACATCGATAAAGAATACAGTAAGATTCTTCATGAAGTTCTTGGCTCATTTTATCGAACGTGCTGACTGTAATGCGACCTAATACCCAGATCATGCTCAACGTAGCGGATCAAACATTCTGGTAGTGATGACAGAATTCTAATGTACAGAGCGACTCGACTCAAATCTTACTCTCCAAGAAAAGGTATAGGCTTCGGCTTATTTTGTGTTTTTAGGCATCTAATTGCGTGCATCTCTGTCTTTACCAAGACTCTCTTTTTTGTACCGGTATCTATTTTTTGCAAGCCAACTTTGGGTGACAAATGGTATAACATGGAGATTACTTAATTCTATCATTGACATTGAGAGATAGAGAGAGATAGATAGATAGAGAGAGATAGATAGAGATAGATAGATAGAGAGAGAGAGAGAGAGAGAGAGAGAGTATTTTTTCATGTCTCTTCTTGTACGGAAGATATATTGTCTGCGTCATCAACAACAAACGATAAAGTTTAGCTTTGACAGAAATCGACAGGTGTGGGGGTATTTTATGCTAGCGGGCACCTCGCCTGGACGCTGGTGTAACAAATACGGTGCTTTAGATACCGTCTGGAGCAGCATACTGATAAGAAAGAATGAAATGGTATTCAGGGTCCGTTGTTGTTTCCATGCTGAGATCGCCACGCTAAACGATCTAAGATAAGCACGTACATACGCCATTCATGCATTCTTATTCTGTCGACATTTTGCTGATTTAGTTCTGTTGCGGTGCATTAATTCTCCCACGTGTGTTGAGAGCGGGTGGAGTCAGACGGGTGGATGCAGGGTGCATGTTTATCGCCTGACATGTGTTTGCTTCATGGTGCTTCGCTATTTCTACGTAGCCTCCGTAGCAGGCTTATAGAACTGGGGGTTTGGTGGTCTTCGGCTGTTTTCTGATTAGCCGTTCTAAAAACGGGGGTAATTCAACCAGGCCGGCTATGTTGTCTATATGCAATCAGAAAATAGCACATAAAAGCTCCCAAAGACCATGAAGACCCCCAAACGCCCAGTTTTTGGCATGCTATGGAGGCTAATTTCTACGTCTCACGGGCTGATCTTCGTTGAGTATCTGAAATTCTATAATCTTTTGTTTTCAATCCATAGAATTCCCCGCAAGAGAGGTCACAATGATTGAATCAAATTATCATAGAAACATTGGAGAGTCAATGCTTGTTTGTATCTTCGCTTCCAAAAGTGTATCTCGCCTGAAAGGTTTGGTCCATTATACTCGGGTGATAGGTCAGAACGTGCCGTGCAATACGGTCTGGGGCCCATCGGCATAATCAGACATCTAATAACGGACGTGGAGTATTTATGTTCCATGCGGCTTCGGACCTTCACGCCTGCCCGGTGTAATAGATGGCTCACGTGCTCAGTGACCCGAGACATGATCTGTAGGGTCCATTTGGGCAGAATAGCTGCATGTTGGCCCCAGCCGCAGGCTTTCCGACAGATGCGTGAGACTACATTGTCAAGACAGGGCCATCGGCTTTAACCTTAATCTTAACTCGCATTCCGGGGGCCGCTGAATATTCCATCCCGTCTTTGTGGACTTTAATACCGGGCATATATCACGTCTCGCAGGAAATGGGCCATCGTAGTTCTGCGTGATTAAAAAGCCTGCCTCAATTTCTGCGTGGACCGTTCAGTCGCCAAGCGGCAAATTACTTATGTAGATTACTGTGGCCTTTCCAATTCTGCCTTTTACCGCCCCTCCGATCCTCGTTCTTGCATTCGGCGTTCTGTTAGCGGTGGACCTGAGGTAATAAGTAAGAACTGCATTCACGGGGACGGTAGGAAAAAAAAATCGCAAAAAGCAGAATAATGTGTACATCTTAAAGAGGCATTATGTAACATTTTGCACCAAATATTTATTTCTTTGTAATTGAAATAAACTATTATGCTTGCGATGTACTTCCACTTTGCAACACATTTGTGCAATTATCTCACATTTCTTGCATTTATGGCTGGCACTAAAACAGCCCACACGATCGAGGTTCTCTCAGTTTGTGGTGCCACCACGAATACAAGAATTTAAACAAACCTGGCTGACAGCTGTGTTTCCAGATTCTTATACACTGGAATGGCCTCACGTTTTTGCACTTCAACTTCCCGAATGGCACTTATTTACAACTGAGTATGGTTGAAGGGTTTTGCTTTGTAAAGAAATTACCCGAAAATGTACCTTGTCTATGGTCCTAATGTTACATAATGCAACTTTAAAATAAGGCTTTGTACCAAACCCATCTCGTACACGCAGTCTCCACCAGACTCAGTTTTCATGCTGAATAAATTGTACAAATCGGTACCACACCGCGCCAGAGTACACACACCTTCGCACGACCCGTGGCACCACACCGCGCCAGAGTACACACACCTTCACACGACCCGTGGTACCACACCTCGCCAGAGTACACACACCTTCACACGACTCGTGGTACCACACCTCGCCAGAGTACACACACCTTCACACCACCCGTGGTACCACACCGCGCCAGAGTACACACACCTTCACACGACCCGTGGTACCACACCTCGCCAGAGTACACACACCTTCACACGATCCGTGGTACCACACCGCGACAGAGTACACACACCTTCGCACGACCCGTGGTACCACACTGCGCCAGAGTACACACACCTTCACACGATCCGTGGTACCACACCTCGCCAGAGTACACACACCTTCACACGACCCGTGGTACCCTGACTGACTCGTTCACAATCGGACGGACGTGAGCAATTACAGCAGAGAGCTTTTCTCACAATATTGGGAGGTCGATATACGTCAGCTCTGAGCCAGCAGCCGTGGGAAGGACTCTGTGGTAGAGTCAGGATGCAGTTAGCATCAACAAGAACCCCCCTCCCCCGGCAACACGTAATACAAAATACAGTCCCACGATCTCATACAATCACCAAATGATGTTAACCTTTACTAAACACTAATTAGAAATCAGATGGCTTACAAATACTACATCTGAATTACAAATCATAACATGTATACATTGTGAAGTAGCTTAAAATCCCAAATGAGTATGTTTACAAATACAATATGTCTTCAGCAGATACTGTAACAACAGTACAGTCACAAATGGGAAAACATTAGAATATATACAAATACCCAAGTTACCAATACATATGCAACATTATCTTTACCACAAATTAAACAGAACAAAAAAAACATCCGATCGAAGAATCACAGAAAGTCGGAACTTTATATACAAAAAACCAAACATCAAAGTGCTTCATAACAGCAACGAATTCACAAACACAAACACAAAAAGAGCACACAACAATCATTACTTTTGCAGACTCTATGGCAATCACTCGTGATCTTTATTTGCAATCAGATACAGATTCATGTACAGATACATAGTCATGCACAGATACAGATTCATGTACAGATATACAGACTTTCCGAGTATGATGACCGTGTCAGTCCCTACACCTGAGTGAGGGTCACAGTTGACACGGTAGCCTTCGCGTGGATTTGTTTA